AAGACATTTGCAACAAGAGGCCATTCAGCTGCGACCAGCAATGGGAAGGCCAGCTGACATTTTCTGCCCTTTGTGGTGTTTGGTCTCACTGTTGTCGTCTCTTCAGCCTCTCAGCTCACAGACCATCATACGCAGGGAAGACTCAGGGTGATGACGACCTTCTATTGTTGCATATACTACTGACTAGTAACTTAGGACTTGTCGAGCATATATGGCGATGTCCCAAGCATTTTCTCAAGTCCTATGTCATCAGGCCACAACCATCACAATCCATGGAAAATGAGACGTTCAGTGAAGAGGCGTGTTTTTTAATGGTGGAGGCGTCCAAGGTCCTATGACACCAGGTTTCCCCACCTAGACATCCTGTATTGCTCGATGTGTGAGCGCAGATGACCTAGCCCTGTGGGTAGCCGTGTGGGTATGTCACTTGAACCACATTTGCCTGAGTCACTAGACAGTAGTATAAAACAGAGGAGTCCTCTTCCGGAAAGGAAAATGCAATGAAGGTGATTCACAATCCAACCAAGCCGTCTGTTTGCATGGACGGTCTCAGTTGTGATGTTCGCCCCGGCTCAACAAAGCCCTTCTGCAGGACCTTATTTGCAGTTTTCACCAAGTCATTTTGACCTTGGCTAACATACATTCAAGCGCATTATGATGCATTATGTGTGGAGGTTCGCGAAGTCTCTGGCGTAGGACCTTTGCAAAGTGGCTTTACAACATGTCCTCAAATTCAGTTTCCGCCGATTTCCAGAAGCCAATTCGCACAGGCTAACTTAGAGTCTATGAAAGGTTGAAACGTTTGCGAAGGTCCTGGATTTTTGCGAAACTTTGCGAAGCCAACCCTTCCAGAAACTGTAACCCCTTGAACCCCCCAGCGTAGGCACCCTAGCAGTGTATACTAGCAGTGTATTTGTATATGCAAATTACTTTACCTTAGCATGTGAGACGGTCAAGAGATTGCTTGGAACACTGTGGGCCACAGCTCTAGGCAGCCACTGATGCAACGGAGAGTTTGCCCAAATGCATTCCACTTGCTGTGATTGATAAACGGGTCAAGGATAAGACACAGCTGGCTGGGAGTGTTACTTTGCAGCGCCATATGCTCATCCAGCCAGACCAGGACAGCGTGCCTCAACATGGGAGGGGCGGGGCAGCCTTTTAGGAGGGAACCAAGAGTTTCAATAGAGCCCAAGTCACAGTTCTAGCTGATGCATTCAGTATGCAACGTGAGCATTTTGTTTGAGTTTGTTTAGTCTTCGTTAGTCAGCAGTTGGACCTTGGTATCGCTCCACTCAAACAAAATCATGAAACACCGCTAGGACGGTAGGAAGTATGAGATATATCACCAAACTATTCCGATTGCGCTAATCCTTGTGGAAGAGCCAAACCTCCTGCAGCCACGTCGACCAACGGGTCGACAGACGGGTCGACAGAGATGTTGATGAAGAGCCAAGGAAGGGCATCTCTCGAGCAGAGGACAAATGCGCTCGCTTCGAAGAGATTTGCACTCTGAGAAAACTGCACTCTGAGGTTGATAACTGCTTGACGGACGCATATGGCTGCAAGTAGATGGCCGACTTGTTGTCCTTCGCGCCTTAGGATCCCAACAGCCTTCCCGAGAGGCGCGGTTGAAAAAATGACGCGCGGGTCGATGGATGCATTTTTCTGAGCTAAAAGGCCGAGGGTGGCCTTTTCTTTGCATCAGTCGACTCAATTACTCGTGCTGCTTTTTTGCATGTGTAGGTGCCTACATTGCCTTTTCAGAAGCCAGGTTACACGAAAAATCACCCACAAAAACAGAATGGACAGGGCAGCCTCTCTCTCTCTCTCTCTGGTGAAATGCAGGGCAACATCCTTTTACACGGCTTAAAGGCAACATTTGATGCTGCGCTCCCTGCCCTCGAGGCACAAGAATCTCTACGGCTTTGTGCGGATGAAAGTAACCTGGACACACCTCTGTGTTGTCAGATCCTTTGCTTCAACCCCAGAGAAATGCTTCGAGCTTCCCACTGCCCGCAAGAACCTTCGGAAGGCCTCCGACTGCTCGTTTGAAATCCCTTTGCTGTGGTTTGGTTCCAGACACTGCATTCCGTGAAGGTCCATGTGAATTAGGAATGTCAATCAAAGGGAAACGGTGTTCATTCAACCATACACTTGTCATCATTTCAAGAACACGTCATTGCGTATGGCTTGGTGGCAGGATCATGAACTCAAATTTGCGGCTTCAGAGACTTCACTTCAAGAACTGAGCTGAACGATGACTGGTGCATCTGACGTGACGTGCCCGTGACCTTCGCCTTGAGCGACGATCGCTCGTTCGCCTTCGGCCGTTCGGCCTTACGAGCCGCGGGGAGCGGCTTCAGAGTGATCTGCATGAATGGTTTGTATCCATCTGGTTTTATAATTGGATACTGAACTGAATTGGATATAATTGGACTTATCTCGCCCCTTAATTTTCCAAGGGTTATAGAGTTTGCTCTATCTCTGTCGGTCTTGCGGGGCCCTCTGCCATGGATTGCCCACCTTCACTGGATGACCAAACCCAGCATTTGTTGGGGAGATGAGCAAGGCGGACTTAGTAGAAAGCCGAAGTGATGAACACCTGATATACCGTCGATTCAAATCAAAAACTTAGACCTGGTTTCGGCCTCAAGTTCAACGGATTCGACCTGATGCTCACAACATCTGAGCTGAACCTTGGCGGATTCCTGTGCGCCAGTGGTGTACAATCATATTGGGGAAAGAAGGATCGCAGCTGTTGGGTAGCACAGTTGAAGTGCGCAACATGTTCAACATGCTGCCTGGGCTTGAAAGCGACAGCCTCTTCTGTCGCTAGGAGCCCAACCTGCAAGTCAGAGTCAATTTGCATTTCGACGGATCTCGGCGGTGGCGATTCCCACCTTCAGGTGGCTTTGACAGGCCCTTGGTTCTTGCTGAGTTCACGCAACTTTCTGAAGGGCTTCTAACTGAGATTGCTCTGCGAAAAAGCTGCAGCCATTTGTGTGATTGGTCACTTGATTCTGATTCTTATTTATGATCATGCTTGAGTGGTGTGTGGACGAACGATGCATTATACTATGCTGCACGCCATCATATTTCAAGGATGCTGCTTTACAACATTTTTTTTCAAGCGCATTTTTTGTGTGTCAGCATCTAGAATCTAGCCCTTACTTACCGACTGCTATTGCCCTCAAACAGCTCAACTAATCCGCTCAACCCATTCCATCTCATTCCACTTTCTTAACAGTCACCCTTCTAATGCAGCTGTTCAGCTTAAACATGCCTCTATGGTTGACACAACGCACCAGCGGAACCAAAGGTTTTTTGATGTCTTTTCTTGGGTGACGAAGTGTAGCAAGATCTTTTAATGTATCGCGGAGACATGTCGAGTGTGGCGCAGGGTAGGCTCTGTGCTTTTGTCAATCTATGATCTATGCTACATGCTGGTCAATCTGTGATACTCCAGAGTCCAGAGGTCATTGTAATTCACCGCAACAGTGGAATCGAAGACGCAACCTTTTCCATCATGGAGCCTGTATGGAGGCTGGAGTTCCAAAAGCCCGGGTCAAGTACTGTAATGACTGTAAGTAAGTGGAGTAGTTGTAACCAGACGAGGCCGGATGTTGAAGAGAAAGCTTGAAAGTAGCTTTGTAGAAGGAAACTGAGTTCTCCAATGGGTGTTGGTTTGTGGCAAGGATTGTCGTTTTGCAGGATTCGCACCTGCCCCAGCCAGCCACACCTGCAAGCAACTGCCCGATCCTAAGTGTGTGGGATGTCAGGGGAATGCAGGGAGTTGAACTAGCGGATTCCTCATGTGAGGCCTCTAAGGTTTCGCTTGGTTCAAGGGGGTTAGCACAGTCTGAGTGTACATGATCTTGCTTTGATGTTTGGTTGAGAGCCTAACTTACGCTGTTTTGTTTTGACACCCGCCGATGTGGGCGTATCCTGCTTGTTCGTTGCCTGAAGATGGAGACAATTTTAAAAAATCCACTGCTACGCTTGGGCTGGCTCACCCCCTTGGTGATGATGTTTGTTTTGGTACTTACAAGGCCCTTTCGTGTGTGGTTTGTTGCCACTCCAACGGTCTGGTGATTGTTGTGTTGGTTCTTAGCCGCTGAATGAAACATCAACCCACCCATGCCCGACATGGAGGACCGTACCCAATGTCTAGCTTCTGGCTCAAGGTCAAGGGGCCGGAACTCTGATCACCCATCAAAGCATCGGTTGCTTCAACCAGTTCTGTAAACCCAATAATCTCAGAACGTGAATGATCCCAACAATTAAACTTAGTTATCTAATAACCTGCTTTTCCTAGAAACCACCGCTACAGTACCGCTACAGCATCATTGGATATCATTGGATCGTTTTTCCCCACTCTCCGACCAGATGTCCAGATTCTTTTCGATCAAGGCACCTGTGGATTTCTTCAGCTCCGAGCCATGGCTACGGAGGTGGCACGGGTTTTGAGTGCCAAGGGCCACCGGCAGACCTTATGCCTCGAGGGGACGACTGTCACGGCCGACGAGCTTAGGCGCGGATGGTCGGCATCGAAACGGTGGACGTTTGCGGTATGATTGAAGGGCTCTGAAGGTGATTTTCCATGCCCTCAATGGCAACTTGCGATCCAAGAAAATCATGTGGGGTTAGATGAGGGCAAGTATGCAACCAAAATGAAACGTGAGAACTATCAGTTGCAAAAACTATACAAACACATGCACGCATCCTGATTCCTGATGTCATTTCATGAACGCATGTTTGCGGCCTTTTTTCACAATGGAGGAGACAATACCGGAAGCTCGCGCTGCTGGTGCATCCGGACAAATGCTCAAGCCCTGATGCTAAGGCGGGGATCAATTTAGAGTCGCCGATGTTGTGAGTGGTTTATCAGCATCAGATATCATCAGGAAGTTTACCACCTAGAAGAGGTCCAAACAACGGTGCCGCATGGGATTGTTTGCCCTCAATGATAGTGCTGTAATTGTAATCGTGTTGATGATTCCAGTTCATCCAGCCCTGGGATCTTGCAAAAAGCTCCATTCAACTCACACCCAAATCCCTGAGATCTTTCCCAGAAGTGGGACCTTCATGCAGATTTTTTGACTGTTTGACCAACAACCCCCACTGTCTTCAGGCTGCCTTCCAAAAGCTCAGCGAAGCTTTTGAGCATCTCTCTGCGGAATGCCATGGCGAGCGGGACGAAGGGGGTGTGAAGCGCGGTGCCCGGTGTGATTCCACTGGGCCGATGAAGCGCGCCAAGAAGCGCGAGCGGCCCTGGTGGGATACCACCTGGGAGGAGTGCAGAGTCGCACTGCTTTTCGGAGTTTGTCCGTGTTCGCAATTTGATCTCGAGTACGGCAAAACATCCAAAAAATCGTTACTCGTAGTAGATTGATCGTTGTATGTTGTTCTACATGTCCAAACCTATGCCTATACGGTATACTATATTTCTCACGTTGCTTCGGGGGCATTTTTCAGCATGATAAAGAACATGCGTGAATCTTGCTCTCACTTGGATCTATCTCACAAGACAAGAGCCCTGGGCCAGGGACTCACACACTGCAGTCAAATTTGCATCCTTTTTTGAGCCATAGCCACTTACTTCCACTTACTTGGGCACAAGTTTGACTCAAATGCACCCCCCTTCGAGGAGTTTGAGCGCCGCTTCCGTGAGCAGAACGCCGCCAACCGCAGCGATGTGCGTTACGAGCAGGAACTGATGCCTGGAAGGAACTGAGGGTGACATGGGGCATTCACAGGGCGAGGCTGACACGCTGTTTGAGCCGCAGGTGTAATGCATTTGTCATCCCACATAGATGGACACCTACTAGAATGATGCTTTTGATGCTTTTCACTTTCGAAAGGGGAATTGCGCAACTTTCCGTTCTTTCACACCGGCTGGCTATCTTAAGAAGCATTCACCTGACAGGCCTGGTCCTTCGTTGATGGGTGACTCATCGGTCGGAGAATCGGTCTCCAAGCCCAAGGCGTTTATGAGGTTCTTGTTTTCTCCGGCGAAAGCGGGGTGAGGTCCATTGCTCAAATCAAACCCGAAGGACACAACTTGTGACCAGTGTGTAGAGCCCATCTCAATGGTTGTTTTCTTGGGCGGTCAAGAGCACACTTGCAAAACAAAGCCGGCTGATTCTGAAGATATCACCATTGAGAAAAGAAAGGATCACTTTCAAGACAGTATTGCAACATCACTTCTACTTGCAGGGAACTGACCAAGTCCTTTCCCAAACCATGCAATCATCAAACATTGATGGGGGAGGAATCGTGGCTCCTTTGTGGTCCCTGCAGGGAAACTTTGCATGTTATAACAACCTTATTTGGAACAAGACTAACCCACACGTCTGACTAACATAAACTCCAAGACTCCAAAGTTCTTCTTTTTTAACCTATAATTGGGCTGACCTGTGGGATTCCTGATCATAGCGTCGCCTGTTTTTTTTTAAAGATTTTAGGTGCTTTGAATCAATCCAAGATCCACAATGCTGCAGTCTACAGTCGCAGAACCCACTTGGCATGCAAATGTCGGAATGTGTCATGCTTTCTCAAGATAAACCCAAGATAGATTCCCGAAAAAGAGGCCCAAGGCAACTCTATGAGACCAAACTGGGATGGTCCAAGCAGATCTTTGTGTGAATTTGTATTGATTAACTTTGGACCATAAGGCTGCGATTGGAAATATCGGCTGGTTGCCGTTTCCCACTACTTCATCCCAAATTGTTCACTCAGCAAAGTGAAATGCATAGAACAAGCGGAACTTCTGATCAATGACGCCTGCTACCACACGCTGAGGAAGGGCCACCTGCTGCGACAGCTGAAGGAGCAGATCCTGGAAGCGGAGAAGTCCGCCGAGCACTGCGACCGCCGCTTGGTGGAGAGTGGGTGCTAGGGCCTGCTAGGTATTTGGTGGCTGAATAGACTCAGCTAGACCGGGTTGCATGGAGCAAAAAACCAGAGGCCACTGGATGCTACCAGGCGCTCCTGGCCGTACTACTAGGAACAAGAAGCTATTAGGGGCTCCTGGCATCGCTACTAGGAGCAAGGAAGCACTAATAGCTCCTGGCCTTACTACTAGTAACAAGGAGCTACTAGTAACAAAGGGCATCGCTACTAGGAGCAAGGAAGCTACTAGGGCCTCCACTCGGCCGTCGGAGATGGAGCTTTCGGACGGTGCAACCGGGGCTCCAAGGAACGGAGCGCCGCAGGTGTACGATGACGTATGACACAACAACATACGTAGGACGTATGTGTGAACACCGAACTTGAGGACACAACATAGGAACATTTTATTAACATTATATACTATGTTACTATGTTATATATATAAGTGTTTCATAAAGTTTCTCAAAGCAATCATGGCACTGCAAAGGGCTAGTCGAGAGATGTTGAGAGAAGCGCTACTTAGAGCAAAATTTGCGGGTAGAGTTGCGGAGCTTCTAGTTATGATTTCTTAATTTTTGTCGTTGCTGATGGAAGGTTGGACCCTCAGTTTGATAGATTTCTTCGCGGTGGAATTCACCAATAAGAGTTTTGACCAACAACTGCAGAAGCTCTTTCTTTGCAGCCACCAGCATGGTTTTGACATCTGACACACTAATTAAAGGGCTTTGGCAAGAAGAACTGCTTTTAATATCCTTTAATTCTCTCTCTGCTGCTCAGGTACTGCAGGTCTCCCACGCAACCAGTGCTGGCGGCACCGTTCCGAGGTCCCGTTGGGGCCAGAGCAGGAGAGGATGCGGGTCCTGCGCGAAGCATGGCCGAACGCTTTTGGTGTTCTACCAAAGAGATGGCTGCCTTGACTCCCTCCAACAAGATCGCCGAGAGTGAACGAACTGAACTCTGTCATGTGCAAACTTTGACACATGATGTTGTTGCCGCTGACTGCCATCTTCCAGGTTGTATTGAAGTTGAACTTTATGGGTTACTTTTTGTGACGTGCGCTGGAGGAGCTGGCTGCCGCCAAAGCTCAGCTGCAAGACCTTCTGTTGCATTTGAGAACCAAGCATCGAGACTTGTCCAACATTGGCTATCATAGGGAGAGCCATGACTTCTACATTGGGGACAGTTTTGGCAACTGGGATGTATTATAACTGTTATATCAAAGTGATATAGAGTGACTATACGAAGCTAGTAAGCAGAGTAGTTGTATGGGGTGCGAATCAATGCAGATATATTATATTGTTGCATTTGTGAGCCATCCCACATGGACTTCGGACTGCTGTATCAGAACGATTGTTGAGGTTCGCTCATATCAGCAGGTTGTTGAGGTTCCATTGACAGACCGATCTATTGAGGGAGCAGCAGACATGCTGGCAAGAACTCAAGTGCATCTGATCTATATATGGGCACTGACGTACCTTTTGGCATGTTGCTGATGTGCATTTTGTCTTGGGCCAATCTCAACCAACCTCGCAGAACTCAGTCTGGTCTCGTAAGATCCGAAAGCTCCGAGGATACTGTCTCTATTGCGGCTGTGTCTTCAAGTCCCCAGAGGACTTAGCCAAAAGCTGCCCAGGAGCCACTCAGGAGGCGCATGAAGCGTTGCCTGGCCGAGATGTTGAGTGTTGGGCCCTTAGGTGAACAAACCATGTCCATTTAGAAGCCACGGCAAGAAGAGGGTTTGATTTGGATGTACTTTGGTGAATGAGATGAAGACCGCAGTTCAGTTAATACTTAATACGTACGTATAAATATATAAGAACACGTATAAGTGTTATAATATGTTGGGACATGTTGGGACTC